TCTTTTTTTTGTACTTTTATAATTACGCTTTATAATGATACTCTCTAAAATCCTTAAATTCTTCAACAACTCTAAACAATGGCTTTTCTTACAATATATTTTGATTTTGTTCATGATTAGGAAGCACAATTAGAAATTATATTGCTTTTCTTCTATCTTCACTATGTATCCTTGCATAGGTAGAACAATCATCAAATACTTTTGTTTCCATCCATATCGCTATAATATAAGATTCTCCTAAAATCAATGGATAAGACATTGTAACTTGAATAAAGAAATGTTACTCTATTACTACATCTCCAATCCAAATTTTAACATCTGGACAAACTCCATATAATTCACCTTACATATTATTAGCTGCTTGTATTACCTATCTATGGTCCACATCAATTAACTATTTCTATTTTTTATAAAGATCCTTAGACATAAGATTTATTTCAAAACCGTGATCAACTAAAACAACAACCAATTCTTCTATATCTCCTATCTTTACAAATACTTATGTAGTTGTCCTTGTCCAATGCTTTTGAGTATAATGGCTTAAAACTTCTTTTTTATTTTATCACTTTGATCATTAAAACGTATTCTTTGATGATGACTCCTCCTCTCACTTGTTGATTATTTGCAATAATTATCAAGTACATCTTCTTCATCCTCACATATGTATACATCAATAGCATGACTCAATCTAATTCTACTCATTAATTATCTCTTCTCCTTAATATTATTAATAATAACATCATATAATTCTTTCTTGGCAATTCTCAAAATCTCCATCAATGTATTCTCAATCTTAGCATTGAGTACACGTTCTTCAAGCATCTCTTTTAAATCTGTTGCTACTTCAATATCAGAGAGTAGTTTATAAGTTATTAACTTATCTTTGTCTTTTATATCTTTTGATTTTCTTTTTGACATTGCTGAAATATCTTCTATTAATAATTCTTATGAAGCCATCTTACTAGCCTTGTCTCCTTGAGTTTGTCTCTGAGAAGAATTTTCTTGTCTTATATCATCAAAATTTCTTCTTTTCTTTTCTTCCATCAAGGCTTCATGGTGGCTCTTAGCAATATATGCATGAATCAAAAGAGCCTCTACATGATCTTTTCAATCTGTTATACCATGTATTGTAGCTGTAGTTCTCAATAATACTTCCCAATGTATTTTTCCTTTTTGCATTGTAGAAATGGAAAAAATCTAAAATCCACTTGTCTCTATACTTCTATCAAAATCATCATCTATCCTAGTACTATAACTTTTAGCTTCTATTTTCCTAAGCCCATGTACATCCAATTAATTCTTAACTAATGCTTTTATACTTTTCTTACCAAAGTTGGTTTGAAAAAGATGACCAGTATCTTTCAATGCCACTTTTCCATCTTTCTAAAAAATAATGTCTTGTTGTATTGTCTCATTAAATTCACTACAATCTTTTTGAAAATAAAAAATATCGTTATACCAAATACATCTTTATACATATTTTTGTTTAGAATTAGCCCTTGAATTATTTATAGAAGTCTTTTCTTCAAGCCTTGTAAGTTTGATTAAGAGATCTCGCATCCTCAAAATAATCTCTTCAAGTCTTATGTCTTCTTTCTTTAATGTAGACATTGGAGGTTGAATAATAGACATTGCCAATTGTGTTGTATGCACTTGAGTTTTAGGTGCTTATACTACTCTTAAAATATTAATCTTATTCTTTTTTTCTCTTTTTACAAGCAAATCCATCACATCTTCAACATTTTTTTACTTCGTTGTCAATCTTTCCTCTTCTTCTTTGTCTTTAAGTACCAACTCCAATTTTTCTTGTAATTTTTCATCGGTAGCTTGAAGAAATAACTCAACTTTGTTTGGTTTCAATGTTAATTTTTCTAATTTTGATATTTGAGAATATTATCTTTTAAATTCCTTCAATAATTTTTTTGCTTATAAATTCTTATTAGATTACTCAATCTATTTCAAAAATAATTTCTTAGTAACATAATTAGTATCTTCTAAGAAATATTTGTCTTTTAATGTATATAAAAATTTCTTCCATGAATTTCCATGATGCTTCATAATTGATGTAACATATTTTCTTATCTCTAGTATCATGGCAAGTTCAAATAGTTCAATCATCTTCTTTTCAAAAACTCAATTTAATTCCATTTTTTGTACATAACATCTTAAGTACTTTGAAATATTTCTTCCATGAAATTAGTCAATTTTATTGATCACTACTTGTAATGCTTTGGTTGTTAATGTCTCTTTGCAATCATTGCTTTGTTGCTATTGCATAAATAATGTAAATGCTTGAAACATATTTATAGTGTTTGAACCAAATTACATCCACCAATAAAAAAATCCATTTAAAGCTCTACTTGAAGATCCACTTGAAGCTCCATCTAAAGCTCCATTAAAAACTCCAAATTCAACCTTCTTTCTTCCTTGTGCCATCAATTTCAAATAACCACAAATACAATCTAACACCTTCTATTTCAAACCTTCACATTGGATTCACCACTTATGTTGTAATACATGTCATCTTATTTGAAAATGCATTGGGCACCTAGCTATGGAAGGTGAAGTCATGTTTTACAAATATCTAAGAAACCTTAATAAGTTTCACTCATATAAGAAGAATGTAATTCGAATTTTAATTCAAAAGTACTTAAAGCTAATATAAAGTACTCAAAAACACTCTTTTTAATAACCTCAACTATACATAAATCCCAATTGTCTTATTACTTTCATAATTAGGTAATTTGATTTCTCCTTGTAAACTCTAATCTTAGTTAGTGAGCTTTGGTGAGCTATAACTCCTAATCTAATTGTCCACTTGGTGCAAAATTTTGCACACAAATGTGATAATAAATCTTTTATATATTCAAAAAAAATTCAAGCTAATTCAATTTACAAATTGTGAGAAAAAGTCCAAAAACCGCATTGATGTTACTTGGTTGTCAACTTGAAAGTTGATGCAAATATTCTAATAGTAATTTCTCCTTTTCTAACTATTAACTTCAATTCAAAAACAATAAATAGCTTAATATTGAAGTCTTTTAATATTATGCCAAATTTCACCTTCATCCAACTAGTAGATCTTCAAATATCATAGAAACTCTATTCAACCTCAAATTACCAACTTCTAATACCATCTTATATCAAGACTTAGATATCTTTCAATTTCATTATTAGAATAATACAAAATTTTATACACACTTAGTGCACCCAATCAACTAAATATTATCAAATTTTGAACTATAGATGTGACACAAATTGAATGAATTGGCCAAGAGTGCTAGCCCTAATTGTATTGTATAAATCCCAAAACACCAATATAAACCCTAATTTTGAACAATAATTGCAAAGTCATTCAAAAACTTTTAAAAACAAGCCTTACATCACTAGAATGAATTTGAAGTTAGCTCCCAAATCTTTGTTGTCAATCTTTGAATGCTCCTTACTTTATCCTAGGCAATCATTTTAGTGGCTAGAGGTCTGATTTTGACTCAGTTCCACAAATGGTCGACCTTCATGTATCCATCTAACTTATCCATTATTTTTTTAGCCCAATTCTACCCTCAATTTAATCCTAGTATCAATCTTTATCTATTTTTATCTACTTTGTCCTAATCATATAGGTAATTATTAGAAGAAGCATGTATATTTGTAATAGTATGTATATTAATATGCAATATTGTAAAGATTTTTTATTAAAAAATAAATACACAAACAACCATAAAGGTGAGCTTAACAAAGATATTAGCATTTATTATACATAGTGTATGCAACTACTAAGCTTATAGAGTTTCTTTGGTATACAGTAGTGACAACATCCTTTGGAGCTATTCTTATAATAAGTATCTGAGCATCAATAAGCATTAGAGCTTTTTGTGCATATTAGAGATGACAAGCAATTCAATATTTTACCAATAATACAGATGGATCATGATTATGACTTCTATTTTGAACCAACAAGTGATAGTATTTGTCTACATACAAACAACTATAGAATTCAAATAGACACCATCTTAATCACATGGTTGAATTATGTTTAATTTTTTTTTTTTTTTTTTTTTTTTTTTTTAGATCCATTGTAAGTGCAACCTCTATTATACCTAAAGATGACATGACCCTTATTAAAGCAACGTTGATGAATTACATAACATTAAATGTGTGTATATGAAGATAAGTATTTTTTTTATATCTTCATATATATCAAATGATTTCTCTAGTTGAGGATTTATATTGAATACATTTTTCATTTTGAAATAGAACAACACCAAAGAGCCTATTGCTTCCTTCCCTAAATAAAAGATAACACAATAGAAAATTACAAAACTAAGATTGTAAAAGTGTAACATGGTCAAAGTGACTTATACAAATTTAGAGTTGCAATGAAATAGGCAACATGAACATTATAAATATATAGCATCCTATTCTTACCATTTATTATAGCTACCAAATTTGAAGTATTTTATTAGTTAAGTCTCTATAGATTTTCTATTTTTATGCATATATTAACCATGATTAATCCAATTGCTCTTCCAATAATATTTATAATAACATATTGCACCTTAACAATCTATTTTTCAATTTTACATTTATATGGGTACTATTATAATCAAATAATGATATAATTTTTCATAATTTTCATGATGGGTGGATCAAATTGATGGCTGGTGGGGTTGATATATATATATATATATATTTTAAACCACAAAAGTTTATCCATCATCCATCCACTCATCCAGCAACACATTCATCTACATACTGACATTCATCCAACCATTCGTTCATAGGCTCATCTGTCCCTCGACTCATGCATCCATCTCCATGTTCATCCATCCACACAAGACTGGGGCTGCTAGAAAGGGCACAAGCAAGAAGAAGCAGCTGGAGAGCGTGGCAGAAGAAAGAAAGCAAAGCAAAGAGAAGAGAAGAGAAAGGGGGAAAGGAGGAGGGGAGTGAGTGAGTGCCGTGTATGGTCACACAACTGGGGCCTTTCTCTGTGTCTCTGCCCCGTCTCTCTCACACCTGCAGTGTGCCCAGCAATCCCCCCCCCCCCCTTTCATTTCCTGCATGTTTCCTGCCTTCCTACTCTCTCTCTTCCCTGCTGTTGCCCACTTCTCTCCTCCATCCACACACTCTTCCTCACCTGCTGATGCTGCTGCTTCTCTCTCATGTGCTTGCTGAGTTCTGGGCATTCTGCCAGCTCCCCTTCTTCTGTATGTAACAGTGCTGCTTGTTTGTTATTTGAGCCCAACCCAACGCTTTCATGTTCAGGTCATTCCAGTAGTCCTAGTTTTGACTTGGACCTTCTTTTCTTGCCTTTTGAGGCGTTTTGGTTGAGTACTCTGAGTCGCTGATTCGCTTCCTAGGGAGCTATCTTTCGCCCCATTTGCTTTATTGGATTTCAGTGCCTGTCCGACTCGAACCTTAGCTTGGAATCCACTCCAGTGATATTGATTAGAGAAGCAACCTGCAGATGTTATTGCTTTGTTTTATTGACATTGAAAAGACTTGAGAAGACCGCATCGGGCTACTGCAAGTGTATACATATTGTCAAGGACAGAATGGATCCCTTGAGCCGAGTGGAAGAGAGTGTCCCGACTGAGTTGATGTCAGAGCATATTATCAATGAATTACGTCCAGATCAAGAGCTTCGCATCTTCCGCAGCACATTTTCATCTGATCCCGTCGTTGTGCCACCCCCCGGGTTGACCTTGCACAGTTACGTCCTACAAAACATAGAGAACTATCTGGACAGGGTGGCATTCTTGGACGCAACTGATGGGCATCAGTACACATACGGTCAAGTGCTACAGCTGCTTAGAAATGTTGCAGCAGGGCTGTGGTTTCAGTTCGGTATCAGAAAAGGCGACGTTGTGATCATCGTATTGCCCAACACTACTGAGTATTTCATATTCGTGATTGGCATCATTTCACTTGGTGCTATTTACAGGGGGTCAAATCCAGCTGCACATGAGTCCGAGATTCAGAGGCAAGCTAAGCATTCCGGAGAAAAACTTGTCATCACAGACTTGAAAACGCACAAGAAGGTTGAAGCCCTGAGCCTCCCTGTTGTGGTGGTAGCTGAGGACGTGCCAAAAGGATCGCGTTCTTACACGTCTCTGTTCGAGGCGGACGGGTCTTTAGCTCCCACGGTAGAGATCTCGGAGCACGACGTGTGTGCATTACCATACTCTTCAGGTACTACAGGTGTACCGAGGGGCGTCATGATCACTCATCGAAACATTGTTGCGAACTTGAACCAAACCGTGCCCGACGTTGAGAGTAAGAATGTAGATGGAATCATTCCGGATGGCGAGCGTGTGGTCCTGGGACTCATGCCTTTCTTTCACATCTATGGTATAATCGGAATTTGCTGTGCGACAGTGCGCATGAAGGGCAAAGAAGTGGTCGTGACCAGGTATAAAGCTGCACATCTCCGCACTTGATTGCTGGAGCACCAAATAAAATAAAATAAAATAAAAAAACACTAATCATTTTAACTTCCCTCTCCGCATCTGAATCTAATTCAGGTACAGCTTGGAGGAATTTCTAGACATACTGACGAACTACGGCGTTACATTCGCGCCTGTAGCACCCCCGATACTTCTCCAGCTTGTGAAAACCGACTTTGATAACTTGGACTGCAGCAAGTTCAGACTGAATTCGGTGTTGACCGCTGCAGATCCGCTGGGCATTGAGCTGCAGAAGGCCTTTGAGACAATATTTCCAGGAGTTGAAGTCCATCAGGTGAAAATCGTGGACCACAAAAACAGAAGTGTTCTATGAAAGTCCATAGTAATCAGTTCTTTGTCTTACAGTGAACATCATGCCTGTAGGCATATGGATTGACTGAGTACAGCTGCGTGACTGTCTCACATTGCATCTGCAATCATGGAAGAGGACCATCCAAGCCGGGCACTGTGGGATTCATCGTGCCAGGATTGGAAGTGAAGTTTGAAGATCCAACTTCTGGCTTGTCGTTGCCTGCAAATTCATCAGGGGAGATTTGTGTAAGAGGCGAACCCACCATGAAAGGTAACAATTCCATCAGTTCATGGGATTTCCCAGTCTTCCTGGCAATCCTTCGTCAGCACGATCACTGGTTGCGCAAGCAGATGGTTTCTCACATTCATTGGCATCCAATGTTGATGATCTCTTGTTGAACCCCTTAAGGAATTTAATTAGGAACAGGAGATGTTAAAATTATGGACGTGTCGTCCATTTTAAGCAATAACACCTTAAACGATTAGACCATACTGAAAATTACAAAATATCTTTACTTTAGTCATAAAGATTCTTTGATAACGAGTGTATAAAATATGTTCAATCCCGCGCAAATAGAGCTAAAAATTCTCAATGTCTTCACCCACGAGGGTTGAGAAAGGATCCTTTTGATAAATGAATGTCTGGATGTCGCCGTTTGATGTTTTGAAATGGAAACAAAATGTTTTTCACACCCTTGGATGTGTATGAGCTTGTGGTTTCCGATGTGAAATTCAGGGTACTTCAAGCATCCAGAAGCAACAGCGGCGACCATAGACTCTCAGGGCTGGCTCCACACGGGTGACATTGGTTACATTGACAACGATGGAGATATCCTCATCGTTGAAAGAATGAAAGAGGTCATCAAATACAATGGCTTTCAGGTATGGTACTATAGTATTATTGAAATTCCCTTCAGGTAATGCAATGTAGCGTTAAATCATCCGTTTTGAACACGTCACACTTCACTGAAATGATCTTGAGAGTTTGCTATGAGAGTTGTGCAGGTTCCCCTGCCGAGATAGAAGCAATCCTGATCTCTCACCCAGCCATAGCGGACGCTGCAGTCGTACCGTAAGACTTTTCAATCTAATAACTGCTAGTGATCATTTCAAGTCTATTGATGCCGATTCAAAGTTCAATAGCATTCTGTTGATGAGTTTACTTACTTCCAAACTCAGATTTGCAGAATTCCAGATGAAGTGGCAGGAGAGATTCCGGGAGCTTGCGTGGTGCTCAAGCATGGTTTTGTCGTTCCACCAACCGAAATCCAGGCGTTTGTGGCTTCCAAGGTGTCGTATCTTGCATTCAGCTCACGAATCAGGAGCGAAATTCAAGTCACTGTTCCGCACTAACTTCAATCTTAGGACAGATGTGAGTTCCTTCAATCGTCAAAATGACAGAAACCACCTGATGGTATCCTGGGTGTTTTCTTTCAACAGGTTTCTACGTACAAGCAGATAAGGCATGTCGAGTTCGTGTCATCCGTACCCAAGTCTCCGGCGGGCAAAATCCTGCGGCGTGTGCTGAAAGAGCAGATTGTAAAGGGATTGCGGCGCACCAAAGCGCAACAGTAACAGTCAGCTCAAACAATGAATCTTCGGGTCTATCCAGATTATAATTTAGATCTTCAGGAAAATCATGTAGTATCTATCGTATGCTCTTCAATTCCACTGCTATCCATTGTATCAAACGGGCTGGTGAGGTATTTGCCAAGCTCATGAGTTCACAGACTTGACGAACACTTACACACGCGAGAGTACTTCCAAGGTTGCTGAGAATCCTGTGAGTCACCCCTCAGCGAAGGATGAGGCCACTACCGCGGTGCAGGATGAGCTGCACATGACTTTTTCAACTAAGAAGCTTTCCGTGGACTAGGGCCACTTTGTCAACCTGGTCTTGTGCCGACCACCTGTAATGGGGCCTACAAGTGATATTCAAAATACTGGACCTGCACATCCTTTGAAAGAATCCTGAAAGGTGAAAGTTCAACGCAACATAACTCGCCCCCATTGGACAGCATCTAGCCTAGCGTTTCCATTCGATCTCGCATCCTTGCAGCAGTCAGATAAGGTGAAATGCCGTTGCCTCTTACAGTGCAGCTGCACCACTGTCCACCGAGATAAAAGCTTTCGACGTTTTTTCAACTTTTATTTTTTTCTTGAACTCGTTTCAGAACTTTGTCAGAGCTCTGCTCATGACTTTTCAAAAAGGAATATTACAGAATAAATAAATAAAATTGAGCGTAGGTAAGTTAATCGAAGGGGATCTCGAATCCCGGTGAGCTGTATTACCGTTGTGGAAACGCTGCCAATTTATGCATTGTTCAAGTGATGTGGAAAGCCATCACACGAGATCAATGGTACCGCCCAACCTCGCAACCCAAGCATGCAGAGCCTTGAATGAGATGCTCAGAAGGGCACCGTTGTATGAATCTTCTCCTTGGGTGGAAGTAACGTGGATCAGACTCCGACACGATGGCCTGTAAAATCCTCCCAACTGTGCAAAGCTCCTTCGTTCTTTGAATGTCATAAGCACTCTGCTTCAAGTAACACCGAGGTCCTCATCAGTAAAATGACGTTACTTGGCAAGTTTCCTCTGTAAGTAGCCATGAGTTCATGTTTGTTAGATTAAATCAATGAGATGTCGTGCATGCGTAATTTCCAAAACGATGGTGATATTTATCCGAAGTTGTTACTTGATGTTCGTGTATTTTACGAGATCTTCCTTGCTATGCGTCATGTCTACCTTGTGATTTTTTTTTAAAATTACAACCTTCTCAGGTTATCTTTGGTAATAAATTTATAAATCATTTGTTAGAATGATAACGTCATAAAACAAGGACATGAAGTAGAAACCTATGTAGAATCAATTTGAGATAAATCTTCAATTACAGTTTCAAGATTTAATCCCCAGTAGAAAAAAGGAAAAGTAAAATAATATAATAGAGATGAATTTTTAAAAAATCAGAAAATAACCCGACGATCAGAATAATATAAAGTGTAAAAATAATAATTATATTTATATATTTTTTAGAATCGATAATTGAAAGAACAAAATTGATCGATGGTTAGATATTGGAACTTTCTTGCACATGCATGAGAAGAATGCACGAAAGCTGCGCCGTGGTGGAAAGCCCACCGACCCTGATGACAAAAAAAGGTTTGCAGTTTAAGCCAATCTGGCTTCTCGTGCTGGATTCTAGAACAAGAGTGTCAAGCTCCCACAACTCTGACACCTGGAGAATGAAACTCGCACACTGCGTACCGCAAAAAAAAAAAAAAAAAAAAAAAAAAACCAAAACCAAAACCAAAACCAAAACCAAAACTGCTTGTATGGATTGGGTCGGTGGATCTACTGGGCCCACTGTGAAGGGCGTGCAGGTTCAAGGAAGGGTGTGGCAATGGTGTTGGCATTTTCGGGGGAATACTTTTGTGTCTCCTCGAGCCATCATTTTTGTGGAGCGTCGTGCTTGGCATTCTTCAGTCCTCCAGCCACGTACCGTCCATGATAACCCAATGATTTCGGCTATCTGATCAAGGATTGTGTACCTGCAGTAGAATCACGATTTATTGATTTCCACTGAGAACCACGAAACGTATCAAGCCAACTCCAGTGTCAAAGCTAGAGAATTAAGCCAGGATCTGGTAGAGAATGACGAGAAGTTTCGGAAAAAAGGAAAAAAAGGAAAGCAAACACAATTTCGAAGGTTGCAACGTAATGTCAACTGCATTCGTATAGCTGTTCCTATCACACTGCGATCAAACGAGGGCGTGGGGTACACCACTCTCTACAGCTCAAGCACGAAATGCCACGAAGCTGTAGAGCGAGAAAAAGTAATGAGGCCGGTGCTGAAAGGGATCAGAAACCAGGTATCACCAATTATCACTGCACCGTTGCATGCGTACGTTCGCGGCGGCTCTGCAGTTCAATACCACATGATGACTTGTCGATAAATCGATTCCTGGAATTCTACTACAACCGGAATCACTATTCAACTGGTTTGTGAGGCCATCTGAAACGATATCCTGCTCTGGATTGCACATCTGATGGTCCAACTTCGAATATCAAAATGGCAATACCACATTTCTCTTCACACCCTTGTAAATGAAAAGGAAAATGCAATATCAGGAATTCTGGTGAAGAAACAAAGCAAAAACGAAAAAAAAAAAAAAAAAAAAAAAAAAGGAGAGGAAGACCAAAGTTTCCACCGATGAAGAAGCCACGCCATGAGCTACCGACTAAATGGTGCCAAATCCAAAGTCACAAATAACGTGGGCTGGCACTGTGGCTCGCTCTTCAAAGCCTCCAGGTCAGCACTTCTAGGCTATGCTGTCCACTAGATATGTATGTATTGAATGAATGAATGTAGGTGAGGAAATTATCCACCTGTGCTCACACGAAAGGGATGCTGGTGGGCTTTTAAAAAGCAGCCATTGCCATAAATGCTGTCATTCACATTCATAATTATAGAATATACATCGGTCATTTCTCCTATTCTTTTCATGAATTCTCACACTTGTATTCTTACTAGTAATGCAATGTAGTTAACATAGATTATTATTATTCTCATTATTGTATAAATGAGATTTTGATGCTTTAGAACAGTACTGTATTTTCTAACTTTTTCTTGTTTATCTTTGAAAAGTATTCATTGCAAGATTGGTAAAATAAAATTGTTTCTTTTATTCACATTATATAATTTGAATACAAGTTTAAATATTATTTGTTGGACTATATATATATATATATATATATGTATATATATGTATATATATGTATATATATGTATATATATAGTATTACCTCTGCTAAGTTCTCTTCTACTAAGTTTTAATCCCTCGTAAATTATAAAAATTTGAAGGAATTGACATGGTTCTATGGTGGTTATGTTATATTTCTCCTAAGTTATAGGTTATGGCATTGACAAAAAAATATAACTTTGTGGAGGGAAAAAAAGTAGGGATGGAGAAAGCAAAAAGGAGCACAAATAGCCAAAAGGGCCATTACCTCATATCTAGGAATTGAACATGCATTGTTGGAGACTTTCCATACACAACTTTCGCTAAATGTTGCAAAGAGTTTTGTAGGTAGCATATTCATCCACATCTCCAATGTTAAGCATGGAGATAACAACAAAAAAGCTTTGTAGCTTCTTTGTGCATGTGATCAATACAGTCGCTAATTCTTCTTCAAGGGTGTTGTTAATATCTTCACATTCTTCTACTTGTTGATGATGATGCTTAACCATCTCATAATTATCTAGCTCAATATGCACATCATTCTCTTTAATTGAATTAAGTGGTTCTTGATTGAGATTAGATTCTTTAATGGAAGATCCCAAATTATGTCCACTAGTTTTTCTTTGATTGTTTTTTTACCATTGTTGATTTCTAAAACTTCAAGTGCTTGCTCAAATATTCTAATATGCTTCAAGCAGTTCTTTATTATTGTTGGAGATAGTTTTGTCCAATTGCAAGTAACTAATGTATTGTTATTAGTTAATTGATCTTGTAAATACTGAGCTCATTTTGCTTGTCCTAACTAAGCACATTGTGCTTATGGAAGTGCTGATAGTGCCATTTCAATGCCATGATAATTTCAGCATCCATTGACTAGATCTTTGCTATGATGTTAAAAAAAAAAAAGGCACAAATATCAATGTTTGAAGTCACATAATTTTTTGTAATTTATAATGGTGCATTATCCATTTGGAGAAGGATCTGCCAATGTCCACTTACCATTTCTTTATTGAGCATTTTTAGCAATTTTTGAAAAAAAAAAAAAAAAAAAAAAAAAAACCTTGATCATCCATGCTTTCTTCTTGAAACGACAACAAAAGTCCAACTATTTGCCTATAAAATGGAGCTTGTAAGCATGGCTAATGAAAAAAAGTAACAACTTATGATTTCCATTGACATTTGCTATAAATGCAATAGTGATCTTTATATTTTATTTTTTTATTTTTTTATTATTGGTGATTTGTTGTTGAGCAATGGTTGAGTTTGGCACCATATTGTAAAATAGTTTTATTTCATTAATGTTATAAATGTCACACATATTATAGCTTGCAATATTGATGTACAAAGTAGGCATCATTGTATCGATATCAACTTGATTAGTTGAGTCTGCCTCTTTATGTATTTTGATAATTTTCAACTTGTGGCATGAAAGAAACTTCTCAAAGCAACCATTTAAAAACTTAATTTTTCCTTTGGTAATTATAAGCATCTCTACAAATTATTGATTGTACTCTTTAATGAATTCTAATGACATCATCATATTTTGAATTTAACATTGGAAAATCCACAAAGCAAGCGCTTCTTCAAAATCAAAAAATTGAATCAGCTTTAGGCACTTTGTTTGAAATTGGTTATTATCTATTATTTTGTACTTCTCATAGTTCTTCAAGATCTTATTAATGTTAATTTGTAAGTATACTTTTACAAGATTAAACTTAGTTTTGGGCCACTCGGCAAGGATCATCTATGACATCAAAGGTCACATATTCTTTTGTTTGTAGATCTGCATATTGGTGAAGCGTAACATTGTTATGGTACATTGGTCAAACCTTTTAGTTTAAAGAGATGAATTACAATGCTTTCTTTATAAGTTTTCTAAGTCTTGAAAGGTACATATTGACATGTTTTTTTTTACTTACATGTAGTGACAAGGTATTAGACGTTGTCATATAACATGTTGTCTTGCTTGAGAATGCACCACGTACCTAGTTGTGGAAGGTGAGGTTGTGTTTCACAAACATCTAAGAAACCCTAATAAGTTTCATCCATATAAAAAGAATATAATCCAAATTCCAATTCAAAAGTGCTAAAAAATACTCTTCTTAGTAGCCTCAATCACACATAAACCTCAATTAT